TCGAACCCTAAATTTTGGGGGTTTTTGTTCTTTGATAATAAAAAACTGATTTTTTTGGGTTTTTGATTATAATCGACCCTAAATTTTGAGGGTTTTCATTTTTTGATAAAATAAAAAACCTGATTTTTTAGGGTTTTCATTTTTCTATTTCGATTTCTTTATATAAGAAGTTAGTTTATCTGTGTGCTTATTTCGATTTCTATTTTGATTTCTAATATGATAGTACAGTTTTTTGCTATCGTATGAACTTTGGTATTTTCCACAATTAGATGGCTACATTATTCCATTGACCAAGCTCACACTTTGAATGAAATTTCAACTGAATCTGCGAAACACCCATGCTACTAGATTTTGAAAAAGGAAAATGGTCTTATTGTATAAAACCTTTATTTCAGTATAATTGAAATAAATTATGTTGCAATTTTTGGCATTGTGTATCCCTTATATTACAAATATGTACTATCCAGTTCTTATGATTTTTTCATATGGCCATGTGGCTTGAGAAAAATATGGTTGGTATTCTTATGATGAATGTTTAAATACATGTATTTGTGTAGTTTGTGGTTTCACATTGGGTAAGTCAAAAAACTGGGATGGATCCCACAAATTCAGTCTATGTGGAATCTAGCACATACCCAAATGTAGGCAGCATTGATGAAATCCCTGATGGTAGTTGTGGCTCACCAAACAAAGGTCAAAATATAGAGGAACCATGTGTAGGAATGATGTTTGGATCAGAGCATGATGCATATGAGTTTTTAAGTCTTATGCATTCGCAGGGGGAGTACTCATATAAAAAAAGGTAAAAAGATCGATAGGGTTTATGTTTGCTTCAAGGAAGGGTTTAAACAAAAAAAACTTAATAAAAGTGGAAAGGTGCGCCCTGAGTTAAGGTGTGGGTGCAAGGTTAGGATGTGCATAAGTAGTCAAGAAAACGACGAGTGAAAAAGGACTAGTGTTGTTAACGATCATAATCATGATCTAGTTAGTCCAAGAAAAGCTTGTCTAATTCGCACACATCGATCATTGTCGACTGCTACAAAGACATTGATACATTTAATGAGCTCGACAATGGTTAAGCCTAAACATATTCATGACATATTCATAGAGCAGGCTGGAGGGATCGACAATGTCCCTTGTACACAAAAGGACATTCAAAATGAAATAGCAAACACTAGAAGAAAACTTAGAGGAGAACATGGCAATTTAATTTTGCAATGGCTCTACAAAGAGAAGTAATCGAACCCGTCATTTTTCTATAGATTGAGATTAGATGATGAGGATCACATTCACAGTATTTATGGGTAGATTCTACATGTAGAGTTTCGTACCAGTGCTTTTCTGATGTGGTTACCTTTGATACCACATACAAGACAAATGCGTTTGGAATGCCCATTGCACCTATACTCGATGTAAATCACCATTTCAATTCAAATTTCTTTGGATTTACACTCATATTTGACGAGAAGATATAATCATTTATATGGGTATTTGAAAACTGGTTGGAAGCCATGGGTAGACGACAACCAGGCATTATTCTCACTGATCAAGATCCTGCAATTTCATATGCACTGAGGCAAGTTCTTTACCAAAGTAAGCATCGTTATTGTAAGTGGCATATATTTGCAAAGATCAAAGAAAAACTATGGCATGTATTACGTATGCATCATTCTTATGCAGATACCTTTCGGAGTTGTGTGGCTAGCCCAACTATTGAAGAATTTGAATTGGCTTGGAAATCAATGATTGATAATTATAACCTAAAAGACAATGAATGGCTCAGTAGGCTTTATGGTTGTCGCATGCAATGGGTTGACACATACTTAGCTGGCACGTTCACTGTTGGTATGACTTTTACTCAAAAGAGTGAAGGGATGAATTGTCACTTCAAGACGTACTTGACACCCACAACAATCTTGCGTTCATTATTAGAAGTTGTTGCAAAAGTCAAAGATAAGAAGGTGTGAAAAGGGAGGAAAAATGACTTGAAAGATATTCAAACTACTCCAGTCCTGCGAACAACCACTTTCATTGAGGCACATACATAAAAAATCTATACTAAAAAAGATTTTAAAGATATTTGGCGAAGAAGTAGCTAATTGCTTAAATTTTACGCGGGAGACGGTTGAAGACAATCAACAGTTTCCAACCTTTAAGGTGGCAGTCCTGGGGATAAGAACTAAATCCTACTTAGTGAAATTCAATTGCTATGACAATTCCGTTTCTTACTCTTGTCACTTCTTTGAGAGGATGAGCCTTCTTTATAGGCATATATTGAAGATTTTTATGGTGAAAGATGGTGAAAGATGTGTTTGAAATACCTCCGATATATCTAATGAAGCATTGGACCAAGGATGTAAAAAAGGGAGTTTTCCTTGATGACATTTGGGAACAAATTAAAGTAACATTTGAACTACCACGCTCCATTAAATATAATGAGGTTATGCAGGCAAGTCGATCCTTTGCCGAGCGTGTTTCACAAAGTGTAGAGGGCTATGAGTTTGTAATGACCGTAATAGAAAATGGAATTCGTCAATTTGATGAAAAGTTAGTGTCCAACAGAGATCCACAGGATAATGTCATGATCCATGTCAATGAAGATGACAATTCTGCTAGTTGTAGTAACACATAAAGTGGAAGTACCCATTACCGTAATGTCCTTGAACCTACACGAGCACAAACAAAGGGACGACTGTCCACTAAAAGAATGAAACCTCGATCTAAGGGATGGAAGCCAAAACAAAGGAAATGCATAGTCTGCAATGGCAGTGGGCATGACAAAAGGAACTGCCCGTCATTCGTTTATGATAGGTACAACTGTTTACCTTTACATTATTTTGATATGCAATTGTATTATATTCATTACTATTGATGTATTTGATTTACGTTTGTATTAGCTTCAATTTAAATGCTAACATATGAATTTATCTTCCTCTTACAGTGCTAAGGAAAAAACACATCGTACGCTAAGGAATATGGAGGCAGCAGAAGTGAGTTGATGGTAAGAGTCACTCGCATCACCCTAAGTTTGTGCTCCTTGAAACCAAAGTGTACTAGTTAAATTCTAGTGAATTGAAATACTGGCAGGTGAGCATTGGTTTCCAGTCCATCAAAAGATGCTATAAGGTTATAGAGATAGTTTTCTATTACTAGCATTCTGACTCTATTTTGTTTTTATGCATTTTGCCCTTATGCATTATTCTTTGTATTTCATGTGTTATCGTCACCCAAATTCACTAGTATTTTTGGTTGCACTTATGCTCAACATATCTAGAAAGTTTGAAATATGTTCTCATTTCAATTCTATTAGGCAGGGTGGGTGTCGGTTTGGAATGGCTAAAGTGACAAATGCATAAGACCTTCCTGCAAAGTACGTATTTGAATCTTGACATTTTATTTTAAAAGGTTGAGTTACTTCCCTTATATCGTTGTATTTAATTCTTGTTTTTCATGTAACTCATTGCTTTGAAATAAAGATTCTATATATTTTGAGACATTGTTATATGGATGTATTAGAAAATGAATTGCTTATATGCTCTATGATATGGCAGGATGTTTATTCACATAGTTGGTCCAGCCATTGCTATCGTTCTTGTCTCGAGCTTCTTATTGAGAATGGACTTCAGAGGTCGTCATATTAGCTTTTGTAGTGGTTGGAGTGATGTATAGTATTCTTCTCTTATGTTTTGCAGTGGTTGGGCTAACTTGAGAGTTTGGTCGCAGTATTGCTTTGGTCGCAGTTTGTAATACTAGCATTCTGACTTTATTTTGTCAATACCCCACCTATCATCTTATTTTATTCGAGTATTTTTATTTTTTCTATGTACAACTCGATTTGTGAGATTTGAAAACTTCATATTTTCATTTAGAATTTTACTTCCCTGTTGGTTTGACGTAGTCTGCAAGCTCCAAATAAGGATGATATCCGTATTTTTGCTCGTTCATAAAGAATTTTCCTTTTCGATTAGTTTACAAATGAGTGGTCACAAATGAACCGGCAAATCCAAAGTTGAATACCGGCTTGGAAGTTTTCCCCTGCTAAGAATTTTGGTTTTGATGTATGATTGAAAAAACAACAAATGTGTTGATTTAATAAGAGTTTAGCAGATTTGATTGACATTTTCAATTTTGGTAATTGTTAGCACACTCTTGTGAAATTCCATTATAGAAATCAATCCTATGAATATTACAACTTAGTAAAAAGATGCAGTTCTTTTTTTTTTGGCGATTGTAGTTTGCATGATATTTTATGTTTAAGAAGCGTTATGTTAAATTTGTTGGTCGTAAAAGGGCTATGGTTTTTTTTTTTTGGCAGACTTAATAAGAGGGTTAGTTGTTGAAGAAAATTCAAAAAACTCACTTCGAAAAGAAGCCAAAAGTAGCCTTCTAATTGTCACATTGGCCAACCATGACTTTCTCTCCTAAACGATTTTAAAAGCTCAAAAGCTTCATCTACTCTACCCAATTTGCAAAACCCACGATCTTAAATGGCATCTTCGGTTTTCCCATCTTTCCAAAGCCCACCAATCATAATGTTGAAAGTAGACTTTGCAAAGCCCACCACCGATCACAATTTTTTTGAAAGACTTTTGTTGAAAACAAAGTTCAATTGGATAAGCATATCAACTCACATGAGTGAAACTTATCCAAGAAATAAATTGGCTGGATACATGAAAGAATCAACAAAAAAAAAGCAATGAATCATGAGAAAAGGGGTGCAACGATTTTTCCTTATGAAGTAACCAAATAAACCCAAATACTTGAAATTAACCATGACTGCAAACTTCAGTAAACTCCAATTAACTCAGTTGAAGTTAAACAAGCTCTAAACAATACAAAAAGTGCATATAATTATAAGTGAAGTGTTCACCATTCAAACCACCAAAATTAATATACAAATATACTAAATTGAAAATTGTTATTCCATAGAAGATAGAGAACAATAAGTGCATAGAATTATAAGTATATAGATACCATAAAACATACACTCATTCCTTTCACAAAAAAAAAGAGGGCAAACATCAAAGTCATAAATACAATTAGACATATGAGATAAATTTTTTGAACGTCTACTTTCTCAGTGACCACAACATCAGATTTGTGCAAACCTTTTAACCACAGGCTTCCTATCTTCATCTAGAATCTCATCACACCACTCTAGATAGCCGCATCCAGTCTCATTCTAGTGGTTAATATGATAAGATAAGTGTGTGTTAAATATATGCGTATAATGGAAAACCAATACGCTTTTACATTATCTTAATGAAAGAATATTACATACCTTCTAGTTAGAGCATTTATAGAAATGCCTATCGTAGTTATCATGTGTCTTTGCTATAAGCACACACATTCGACCACATCCTGGTTTGCGTTTACACATCCTTGGAGGGAATTGGTTGTCGAGATCCATTCAATTAAAATGATCAGATGAGCTCAAATGCCCTATTATCGCTATATCACATCCATGGATTGCATCAGCCATTGAAGTGAATATATGCAAATCATTTTATCAGATAGCAAAGGAAAAATCAAATACCAAAAAGTAAAGCATGACAATGAATACAGTAGAGGAAAAAAGGTCACAATTTTATCATAGTTGATCTACATAAACTCATTTTAACTCATTTTTGTCATGCACAACCTTGCCTTGCCAGCCCTAACCTGAACAACACAACTCCTCTCCCTCACCACTTTGTTGACACGCAAGTCCACCTTCAGAGTTAAGCCTACCATCTCAGTGACTAAATTATCAGTTAAAGGATTTAGAACCCTCTAAAAGCAGAGCCAAGAAAGGCTTAACATTAGCAATGTACATTTGTTGCATTAGTAAGTGATGCACATGTTGGTGTGCCAATCTTAATTCAACTTTCTTGTTTTTCTTTTCTTATACAGGAAACAAGCAACTCAATGAAGAACACAATACCTCAAGCACCTAATAATATGTTTTAGGAACAACAAATGATAAGCAACACAACCACCGGAAAAAAAAAGAGTATGTGAAGCTTATCAAGGACACTAATGGCATGACGGTTCTAACCAACTTTGGTATTGAAGAATCCAATCAATTGCCTGCTCCTGCCATGACAAATAAAATGAAAGCAAGAGGCAGTCTATTCCTAGATTTCATGAAACAAAGAAGTTGAGTAGGACTAAAATGAGTGGCACTTGATTATATAGAACAACCGCAATTGATTATATAAAGGATACTCAATGCCAAAAATTGCAACATAATTTATTAAGGGTTTTATACAATAAGACTAAAAAAATGTATTAAAAAAATCAACATGACTCACCTTCAAGAGCCTAAGCAAATTATTGAACAAAACGTAAGTTGGAACTACAAAGAATTTTCTATGACTCAAAAGAGTCCTACAAACAATCTTATTCCTAAGTAATAGCGAATCAAACATCACAAAAAGAAAAAAAAAAGTAACAGCAAATCAAACAAAGTGGTTGTTTGAATAAAATAAAATGAAACAAAAAGAAAAAAATCATAACCTAAACAAATTATTCTAAGAAAGCAAGTAACAGTAGATCAGACATACATAACTCTAAATTGTGGAAAACATCAGAGTTCAGACGATAGCAAAAAACTGCATTATCATATTAGAAATCGAAATAAGCACACAGATAAACTAACTGCGTATGGGAAGAAATCAATATAGAAAAACAAAAACCCCAAAAAATCAGGTTTTTTATTTTATCAAAGAACGAAAACCCTCAAAATTTAGGGTCGGTTATAATCGAAAACCCCAAAACATCAGTTTTTTATTATCAAAGAACAAAAACCCCCAAAATTTAGGGTTGATTATAATCGAAAAGCCCCCAAAATCAGGTTTTTTATTATAAAAGAACGAAAAACCCCCAAAATTTAGGGTCGATTATAATCGAAAATGCACAAAAATTAGGTTTTTTTTTTATCAAAAACCCAAAGCCCCAAAATTTAGGGTCGATTTCAAGATGAATCCATGTAAAATTTTAAAAAAGGAAGTATACCGAGTGCTTGGCATTCTGTTTGAGCCTCCAACTAATGCTGCTCAAATTGCACGTTGTAAATGGTTTCTTCTAAGTTGGCAATTTGTTCCAACAAGGGGTTGAAATGCTCTGCGCATAATTTACATTGACTGAATAACATAACATACATTGGCTTGCTTTGTGCACACAAATAAACATACTCAAGCATGTAGATGGTTGCTATGAAAACATGAGATGGAGATATTGCGTTCTACAGAAAATGAGAGAGAGAGAGAGAGAGAGAGATGGAGAAATGAAAAACCAGAGGGAGAGATTGGGTGCTATGGAAAATGAGAGAGAGAGAGAGAGAGAGAGAGGAGGAGGAGAGTAGAAATGAGAGAGAGAGTAGGAGAAAGGAGAAGAGAGAGAGAGAGAGAGAGAGAGAGGA